AAGAAAGAAAGAAAGAGAGAGAGAAAGAGAGAGAAAGAAAGAAAGAAGGAAAGAAAGAAAGAAAGAAAGAAAGAAAGAAAGAAAGAAAGAAAGAAAGAAAATAAGTAGGGGACTGGGCACTAGTCCTGGCTCTTCTGCATGTTAGTGCACATGCCTTCTGTGCCTTGGCTACCTCTGCTTAAGGAAACATGGCATGTCCACCAGCTAGCAGGTGCATCTGGAACCTCTGTGTCCTCATGTATGAGGAACAGCAGCGCACCGGTAACCTTGGTGAACAGATGACATGCACAGAGTGCCAGACACCAGCGAATACCATAGCAACTCCTCATGCCCGCCTACACACACACACACACACACACACACACACACACACAACGCCTAGGGGAGAGCTGCCAGGCCCAACAGCACAGACATTCTTTCCAAGCAGCTCTGAGCATCCTCAGAGTAGAGGAGAGCTGAAGGTGGAAGGGGACAGACAAGGACACCAGAGGCCTGGACCATGAAGAACCACAGATGGTCATAGATCTGAAAACCAAAGAGAAGCAGATAGGTGCCCTCCCCATCATATCTTGGCCTGCCAGGAAGGTCACTGCAGGGAGGTGTCTGCCAGCTCCTTCGGCTCGGGAGTGTTAGCATGTTAGCATGCCTACTCCAGGCGAGCTGCCACATGCAAAGGCCATGCTTCCCGTATGCCTCAGGTGCGCAGAGTCAACAGGCAGGAGCTGATCCCACTTCCAAAGCCACCATCATATGGGCTGGTCATGAAGCTGGGGGAGTTTAATCCAGGGCAGTGGGAGGTTTCACTTCGCAGTTGTCTCTTGTTTTCCTTTTTGAAACAGGGTCTCATGTAACCCAGGCTAGCCTCAAACTCACTAAGAACAGCCTTGAATTCCAGATCCTCTACCCTCCATCTCTCATGTGTCAAGAATACAAGACTCACCCCTACAGTGCCTGATCACTGAAGTGAACCACATCCCCAGCCCCATTTTTAAGAATTTATTATTTTTGTCCAGCAATGGTAGCTGACACCTCTAATCCCAGGGGAGGCAGGCTAATTTCTGAGTTCAAAGCCTGGTCTACAAAGTGAGTTCCAGGACTGCCAGAGCTACACAGAGAAATCCTGTCTTAAACCCCTCTCCCCCCCCAAAAAAAAAAATTATTTTATTCTATGACGTGTATGTGTGTTTTATCTTCGTGTGTGTCTGTGTGCCATGCGCATGCCTGGAACTTGCTGAAGCTGGAAGAGGGTGTCAGATTCCCTGGAACCGGAGTCACAGACAGTTGTGAGCTGCCATGTGGATGCTGGGAATTGAACCCGGATCCCTATTAGAATAGCCAGCGCACTCAACCGCTAAGCCACCTCACTAGTAACCCACGCCCTCTTTTTTTTTTTTTTTTTCAGTGCTGGGGATTGAATCTAGGGCTTTACGCTTGCTATTTTTGTACTTTCACTTTTGTTTGACAATGCTGTGGGGTCGAACCCAGGGCTTCATTTATGTTAGGCAAGCGCTCTGCCATTGAGCTACAACCCCAGCTCTGTTTTTATAATTGCAAGAAGTGCTCTCCAATCACATCAGCTTCGGGCCCTATGAGACGTCTCTGCTATCATCCATTTGTAAATAAGAGAAAAAAGCCACAGAGAGAGGTAAAGTCATTTTGACCAGGTGACAGGTAAGGGTGGGGAGGCCCAGCCTCCTTTTGTGAAGCCTGAGGCTCCAGGACAGCAGCCGGGAGCCTGCCTTTATGGGCAGCACTAGCCTCTGTTTTCACATTTTAATCAATTGGTAAACACTTACTTATCAATCTTTCCAGCTGAACCATTGAAGACTGTACTTGTGAGCAGGAGACTCACGCCCTCCTATCGCCTGATACATCCAGTACAACACAGCCTACCCTAGAGTCATTCCCCTCATTAAATAATTCTAAATTGCTTTTACACCCATAAGGCAGTATTGATTAAAGACACAAAAATTTTCTTTTAAAAATCTATGCCTGGCGTGGCAGTGAACTGCCTGCAATCCCTCACTTGGGTGTTGGAGTCAGGAGGACTAGATAGACATTCAAGGTCATCCTCAGCTACAGAGTATGTCTGAGGATAACCTGGGTTCTGAGCTCTTACCCCACTGCCACAAAAAGGGACGGGGGTGGGGGTGGGGGCTCTGAGATGCCTCCGCAGGTAAAAGTGCTTGCCCTATGAGCCTGATGAGTTTATTCTCGGGATGTCTTAGCAGGAGAGAAACAATTCCTGAAATCTATCCTTGGACCTCCACATATTATTTATGTGTATATGTATGTATCTATTTGTGTATATACATATATTTGCTTGTTGGCTTTTTGTTTTGATTTTCGAGACAGGGTCTCTTTGTGAAGGCATGGCTGTCCTGGACTCGATTTGTAGACCAGACCCGTTCTAAACTCACCGAGATCCACCTGCCTCTGTCTCCCAAGTCCTGGGACGAAAGGTGTGTGCCACCACTGCCCAACGTTTTGTTGTTGTTTGTTTGTTTGATTGATTTAGAAGGAGGCATCACGATAACTCAACATCGAAAGGCACTGGCCACCAAGCCTGATGACGTGAGCTCAGTCTCCAGCAGCCACACAGTGGAAGAAGGAGGACTGGCTCTCCAAAGCTGTCCTCTGACCTCACATATACACTATGGCGTACACACTCACATTCATGTGTGTGTGCATGCGTGAGCACACACGCACACGCATACAGTAAATAAAGTGTGAGCTCTTTTTCTTAATTTAGAGGACTCAAGATACAGCTCAACGGTGGAGTGCTTGCCTAGCACGTGAGAGGCCCTGATTTCAATATGCATGACCGCCAAAAGTGCCAAAGAAAATTATATATGGTGTCTATACAAAACTGAACATTTTTCTAGTGTTCAGGAGAGAAAACAGAAATCCGTGTTCAATGTCAAGTAACAAAGAACTATCAGAGGAAAATATTTGAAAACTCTTGTAAGGAGCTAATTTCCCTTGTCTTTAAAGGGCCTCCTGGGACTCAGCAAGTACAAAAGACCAATAATTCACCAGCCAGAGGGACACCAGACAAAAGCGGCCAGTCTGCAGCACCTTGGGAGCCAGACTCAAGTAGACGCTCTGCCATTTGCACCTGAAGCTCCTTGGAGCCTTTCAGGAACTGTGGGATCTACTGGAGGAAGAGGGGCTGGTGGGACCCCGGCCCTGCCTGTCTCTTTCTGCTGCCATGAGGAGAGCAGCTTCTCAGCCTGTGCCCATGCCTCTTGATCTCACCCCTTGATAGTTAATTTGATGGGCTATGAAATCAATGAAAATACAGGCCTCCAGGAATTCCTAAAGGGATTTTCTTGTTCCAATTGTTTGAAGCGGGAAGACCCACCCTAAATGTGAATGGGATCTTTTGGTCCCGGGATAAAAAGGACGTGGAAGGAAGGAGCCACATTTTGTCTGTTTGGCCTCACTCTCACTGCCAGGC